GTAAAATATTCACAGCTTCATACGGATTTGATGCCAACATTTGAAGCCTCAAAAATCGCATCTACCTCCAAAAATCGTAGGCTCTGATTGTATGCCGCACTTCGTTGTGTGAAGTTGCCAGGTTATATCCTCTTTTCAGGATAATTCACCTAGCAAAAATGTGTTGACGCTTTATCCAGCGGCTTAGGAGTTCTCCCAAAGTTTCTCAACCACTTCTGGAAGGTTTTTCTCATCGAAGCCTGTTCTCGAAAGCCCACTTCCATGACTTACACAATGGCAGCAGCTTTGGTGCAATTCCAGCTAGAATCCAGTTGTATCACCATGCTATCACACAACTCGCTTTCAGAGTAACGATATATCCCGTCGATCAGCACAAACTTTATGCTAATAAGTCACGGATGAGGTGATAACTATGAGACGTCAGTCAGTTTCGTATGAGGCCACGAACCTTAAGCATGCGCGTATGATTATATGCATCTATCGATGAATAAATGGATGGACAGACGACGGGATGAATGGGTGATGTACATATGTCAATCATGCCTATTAACTCAAGGCAAACTCTTTCAATCTGTGCATCTTCCGTTTTTCTCCATGTCAAAGTTTAATGAAATTCAAAATTTCCCCTTGGCTTTAGTTCTCAATCTTATGACACATTCAGGAGCCTCTTGCAATGCATTCTTTCTTCCTTCTGACTATGGTTAAATTATTTTTTCCGTATGCAGCGCAACCACTCTGATTATTTGATCAATTAATAAAGGACTCTGAATATAAAAGGCTGGTACAGTGAATCTTGCGCTAACTCATTTCTGACTGGGCATTTTACTCGTGCACCAGTTATGCTAATTTCCGTAATACGAGGCTGCAACGTTAAATTATGCTCCGAGTAACCGAGTGTCGTAAAAGGGAAGGATTGTAGAGTTCCACATCACTGCCTTTTCTACTGTCAATCGTTGCTACGCTGAATAGCCAAGCGGCCATTAGATCGAAGTATATTAATGCAAGATAATGTCATGCATTATTCAGTGAGATGTGTATCCGAAGATAGAGTAATTCGTTCTTGCGCTGATGGTCATACGTGAGAAAGTAACATAAGACACGGTTCAATTATATACAACGCAAAAGATACTGTGGTCAGTCCGGTGACTGACCAATACCGACGTTTCGGCCTTTGTCTCACGGCTCTTCTTCAAGGTAGGCCGGTGGTAAAGTTTCGTCAGTGTGGGTTCGTAAAGACACTCCCGTCGACAGTCTGAGTGCAGCTGTATGATCAGAGACAAACATTGGGTACACAGGCAAATAAAGGAGGCGTCAATCATCCACCTACGAACTATGCGCAGACAGGATGAGCACCTTTTCCCTGGTAGCCCAAAAATTATTTAACCAGCAGGACCCCAAATAAAACGTTGATTCCCAAAAAAGTTACGTAATATGCTATGTGGCTGAGGATAGCACTCCCATATTAAAAATGACGGTCAACGAGGTTACACGGTGGTCAGAGATCGGCTTCGAACTTTGAGAGTGTCAGGTCTGAATGACAAATAAGAAATAATTTCAATTAGCCACTAACTTCAGTGAGTAAGGAATTCACCCAGCCTCATTTTGGTGCAATCAGGCCGGAGAAGACCTTCGGGTTTGTGCTGCATGCACCTAGGCAATAACACTTCCCGCGATGGTCTAAGTTTAGCGGCATCATCAAAGAGAAACATTAGGTACAAAGGCATAGCGGATAAAGGAGGCATCGATCATCCAACCGTACGAAAAGTCAAACGTAACAAGGGTTACAAACTCTGCGCACATTGGATGAGCACCTTTTACCTCATCGCCCTAAAACTATATAACCAGCAGACTCGAACCTTATACTTACCTTCTGGCTGCGAAACTATCGACTGCTGAGGACTTCCAACCACATTCATGAAACTTCACGACCAATTTACCTTGAAGAAGCGTCGTGAAACACAGGCTGAAGCGTCGGTAATGCTCATTAACCGGACTGACCATAGTATCTTTCGCGTTGTGCATAACTGAACGGTTTTACGCTATTTTTCAGTAAAATTATTATATGGTACTGCGTCATACTTAAAGGTTATGTTTCATGTTGAAGGGCATTTAAAGCTTAAATGCTTATTTATACAAAGAATGAAGTGAACGCAGATTGACTGTGAAGTTATTGGAACTTTGTGAATTTTGTGCCCCCTCTCCACTTTTTGTTCTATGAGAAATGTCGTCTTCCGTTCATGGTGACAAAGGAGAAAATTGCTGTTTCACCAAGGCTAGCATGCAGGAGTTTTAAGGCTAGATCATCCAAGTAGTGAGAGGAGCTTAAACTAATGCTCATCGCCCTCTTATATAGTGATGTGCACATAGTACTCTGTAGGATAGCATTCTGTAATGCATTATTATCTTACTATACACGAAGAACTATATTCTTCATCACATAACAATATACAACTAACCAGAGCTGATTAAGGAATCAAGAATTGCTAGCGTTAGTGAATTTCTTTT